GAGAGAGAGAGAGAGAGAGAGAGAGAGAGAGAGAGAGAGAGAGAGAGGCTCTGGCTTTCATCCTTCACATCGCTGTGGGAGAGGGATTGAAGCGGCTGCCTCGGAGCTCTCCGGTAACGGACACAGTAGACTGCGCTGACTCACGCTGACGATCCGCACACAGCACCTTTTAGACTCTACCTGACCCGCAACCTGACAGCAGGAAGACATAAAGGAACTTTTTCTCTGAATTTTGGAGCCGTGGTCAATCCGCTCTCGACTGCTTCTCTTCAAATTCGATTTGGCATCAAACAAAGTCACAGGCTACTCCATGTTATTGATTCATAAACACCAGATGGCGGTGAGTTGAAATATCACTAGAACACATCTGAGCGTGTTGGGACGGGACCGGGTGTTTTTTCTTTTCTTCACCTCGTTTAAAGCAACTGCGGACGAGAAAAAACTTCTACCGGTGGCGGACCTTGTATCTTCGTCTTAAATTCCGTTAAACATCATCCGAACCCCTCCTCCTCCTCCTCCTCCTCCTCCACCACCTCCTTATCCTCCTCCACCAGTCTTCACTTGTTAAAACAACAGCCACCGCGGAGACAAGACTCCAGCCTGCCTGCCAGCGGTCAAAGGGAATCAAAATAACAGTTTAGCAACCGGCAGCTCAAGATTGGACCCTCACAAGGATGCTACCCCAGCACAGACACCACTAGACGGTCCAAACAGCGGCTGCCAATATGTTTAGGCGAGGTAAGAGAAAGAGGAATTCACTTGTTTTTGTTGCTGATGGTGTGGAGCGCGTGTGGCTGAGCTGTTTATTGATGTGTGTGTGCGTGTGTTAGTTGATACAAATTCTTGGGAGTGTTTTTCATTATTATTATTTATAAATTTGGAGTAGCAGAAGAGCCTCTCGCTGCTGCCGTAACAACTTAACAGCTGTGCTTCATCCGGGTATGCAAGGGGAATTAAATATTTATCCACTTCATGTGAAAATTATTCTTAAAATAGCGACCTGCTGCCGCACTGCAGTTTGTAGGACTTGCCTGCACGAGGATAGCTGGTGCTGTTGCTTGCGCGAGCCAGTGAGCGTGAAAGAAAGATAACTTAGGAGAGCGCGTGAGAATGAGATTGTCGGAAAGAAAGTTCACAATTGTGCTTTTTTTGTCATAAAAGTTTCACCTGTTTGGGCACTTTGTGTGCGCACACCTATAGGGCTCGGGAGCGCACGCGCTCGTGTGGTTAAATTGGCGTGACAGAATGAGGCGCGCAGTCACACCAACAACCGGATATTTTGACTTCTGTCTGCGCTCAGGGAGAGAGGGAGGCTCCTCCGGTGGACGTGTAGGCAGGAGAATAACAGCACGCGCCCGTAACACCTTGCTGTTTACTATCACACTGACACGCGGCGGTTTTGTGGTGCGAAAAGGTATCAGGTTTTACCACGATGACCTTGCCTCTGTGCGTGTTGACATGGAGGCCCCAACCCCACTGTTAAGCCTATTTTTCTGTCGATGTATGCGTGCGTGAACCTGCACGTGTGTGTTGAAGAGAAGGTCTAATTAGCGTCACTTTTGACATATCATAAAAGGCCCTATACAGAAACTAATGATCCAAGTTAAAAGAGACCATGCATTCAGTCATCTACCAACCCCCCCCCCCCCCCCAAAAATAAAAATAGGCTTACAAGTGTGGCTACTGTGAAAGGCAGACTGTCAGTTTGCTAATGCGGATAGCACACGACTGACGGAACCCTGAGCACATAAAAGAAAAACATTCGTTAATAGAGACACTGGAAGTCTATCATTCCTCATGTCAATGCGGGCCAAAGCAGAGGAGGGAAACAACGCGCATACATCCGTGCCCATCATTTTCTATTAGCTCACTTGGTTGGCCCGAGTCGGGGCACAAGCTGGGCGACCTCCTCATTAAGGGTGGGACGTAATGGGCCTGACAGAGGGCTGATTAGTGCTGCCCATCGTATGTGCGTGTACGTATGACAGAGCAAAAGAAAGACAGAGAGAGAGCTCGATGGCTAGAGACAGACAAGCTTTAATTTTAATCTTGCTGTAATTTCAGATGGATAGCACCCCCCACACACACACTCGACACAGTGGTGATGGCTAATGCGTTATGCTTTGTATCTCCTCCTACAAATATTTGGCTGTCAGTAACAATAATACAATTCAGGGTAATTGTGCACAGTCTGCCTGAGATACAGTTATCTATGTCTGTCACCTTTACCCACAGTCTCTCTCTGCGGTGGGATAAAACAAGTGAGAGAGTGAGGGGAAGGGGGAGAAGTGTTCTTGTGTAATGAAAACTCCCTCTCTCTTTCTCTCTTTGTCTGTCTCTCGTTCTTTCTCTATCTCTCTGCTTGGCCAGTTGCTGCTGCCAGCTCCAGGCTGAGAGCAGAGAGGCCTGTCAGGCTGATTGGCTACTAGCTGGTTGGTTTGGGTAGCTGCCGAAGCTTTGTTTCCCAGCTTGTTTGAAGCTGGATTTGTTTCCCTTACTTGACTTTGCCTCTGTTTCCAACTTTAAGTTGTCTCTGTCTTTATCCACAGCTTTTCACAGTAACACACACACACACACACGCACTGGCACTGCTTGAACAAAACACATGCCAAACCTTAAAATTAGTTATGAAAAGAAAAGCTCTTTTATTAAGAAAGGCACAAATGAAAGGCTTTATTGTGCTCTGTCACAGTCTGTTTAAAAGTGCACACACTCAGAGTTGCATTTGGATTTTTATAGTTTCAGCTAGGCCGGCAGCCAACGATTACTTTTATTAGCGATTCATCTGCCGATTATTTTCCTCAGTTAATCAATTGGTCTATAAGATGTTAGCATTTGAGAAGCTGGAACCAGCAAATATTTGGCATTTTAGTTTGAACTTTTTTTTAAATGATCAATATAGCCTCAGATTAATTTAGTCAACAATTGATACTGCTTGTTTTTTCTGTATATTTTATCAGATATCATTGAATTAGTAATTTACACTTTGCATTGACTAATGTCTTGGTACATTAACATAAAGCCCATGCTTATTCTAATTTAGATTTTGCCCAAACTAAGCACTATTCATCTATTTATTTCATTGTTTTAAAAGATTTGCAGCTTTTTGCCATAGCTAATAGTTGCAAACACTGACAAGCAGAGCTGATCAGCAGTCAGATTGTGTGGATGAAATCAAGAGTAAACATGACAGTGGTGGGTCAGACATCAATACACAGCAACATTTCTGGCATCCTTTTGAGGCATTCAGAGACTCCTGCGAGTATTTGTTAATCAGCAAACTGCTATCTTCTGCAATTTTAAAAGGTTAAGGAGTTTTCCCAAATATAAGATCCAGAACCTAAAATAAGAGTATGCATGCTTTCATACAGGGATAAATACAGTGATTTTGAAAACATTGGTGGTTGAAAGCGGTTTGAGTGAAAGCGATGACAACATAATCTATGGTTTGGTCGACAGAGAGCTGTGCTGTGCAATTTGATAAAAGGCAACTGGAAACTGAAAAACTGTTGTGAACGATCATCTAAAATGCTTATTTGTATTTTAACTTTCAACTTTTTAATGTGGTGTTTCATCTACACAACTTTTGTTTTCCTATATTTGTTTACATTTTGGCAAAATGGCACCATTAAAAGTACTGTATACCAAATTAGCTATAAGGAGTTCCTGTTTGCAATATAACCATGGTATATATATATATATATATATATATATATAAATATATTGTTTGTCTCAAAGACACACAAGTTCAATTTATGTGGAAGACAGCATGAATTTTAGATTTCTACATAAACAGCGTGAGCATTTTGGGGGAATAGTGTGTATGACATGTATGTAAACTCCCTCTTCTCAAGTTGGGAACTTGAACTTCTAAAAGGCACGACACTGTCTCTTCTTCTTATCATCACTTCATAATATGATTTCATCCTCTCGCTGTCGGCCCCCGTCTATCAATATACTGAAATCCACGAAAATGTGCAATATCTGAAGAACGTTCTGTGATATTACCTTCAGCCAGGATAACATATAGCTAACTTCAGCTCAGCACTGAAATCCACTGATCAATATCACTACACGATGGCAAAATTGCAAGTCGCTGTTCCTTCAGAGTAGCGCCTCAACCTCGCTCGAGAGCCAATGGCTTTCTCCGGGTCCAAATGTGAATAAAGTCTGCCCTGATTATGGAACTCTCCGGCAGTTTTATGGAGTTCCTGCTTAACTTGATCCTAAACGAAGGAGAACGCTGTCCTGATTCAACCCAAACATTTTCATACACTTTTTACGCACTTTCTCATTTTATCTGATGGCATTGCAAAAAGACTAACGCTAACATCCTTACTTTGTCTCTCTGAGCTGACAGTTGCGTTGGCACACACGTACATTTTGCCTGCAGGCTGTCAAGTAGTCTACAGTCAAAACAATTAGAAGCTGCTGTTGCTGTTTTGTGTTGCTGTGCGTGTGGGTTTGTTTGCATCTATGATAGCCTTGGTGGATGATAATAACATATGGATTAGTGACAAAATGTTTATTCGGGTCGTGAAGCACCAAATGGCGGGGTAAGTGAGTGCTGAGATTGATCCAAATTTGCTCTTGCAGTACCGACATCCTGATCCAGTGGACCGATTTTACAGATTAGGCCGGGGCACACAGTATAGGGAATGTGACACTTTGTGTGAATTCTGTGGATGTATCATATTAGAGAACTAAATCATCTTGGGATCTGATGACTGGAATGGAATTCATATGACAATCAATTACATCTCTAATGCAAGTCACAGTGGAGAGCAGGATGAAACGTTTCGGCACACACAGCAGGCGTCCGTGCGATGGCCGTGCATATCAATGCCCTTTGCAACCGCTCCTCCTGCCTGGTGTCAAGGTCACTCACAGACTCCTTCTTTCTTCTGCTGCACCCTGAGCTCAGTGTGGTCTGCCTGCTCAATTACATTTGATCATTACGCTGCACTACAATTTTCCGGAATAATGTGTGTACCGCTCACAACCGATACACCGCCTTTAAATGCGTTAAAATAATTACAGGGACTGATGTTTTACAGCTCCGAGCTTCTAAAGTGATGAACACAATGCACAAAAAAAAAGAAAGAAAGAAAAATAAACACTTAATGAGCAGGAGTTGTTTTGATGCGAAACAAACAACTAGAAATGATGCTGCACCTAGCATGAAATGGCATTTCAGAACGGCCCTGTGGTGTTTCATTCCAACTTTCTTGCCAAACAAAGCTCTGTCCCATTTATCTTTACCTACAAACATACTGCTTTGCTCTTTCAACAGTTGCTCAACAGAGCTAGCCATAACAAAGGAAACATTTGCACAATTTGACATTCTTAAAAACAAAAAAAAGTAGTAAGAACCATAAGGCTAGCAAAATGAAATGGCTTATAGGCTACTTACTACCTGCTGCTGCAGTCAAGTTGTTACTGGATTGTTTGTAAATATGGTGCTCTAATTTGCTTATGAATCACTGCGGTTCACCTTGAGAGTCAGCTACACACACACACACACACACACACACACACACACACACACACACACAGCAGGAAGGTCCTTTGTGAATAGAACCCAATCAAAGGAGACATTCCTCCCTATCAAGAGCCCTGTGGAGGCCTTGGATTACAGGTTCACGTAGCAACAGCCAGGCTAGTTGTGCATGTATTGCGTGTGTTTGATACATAGACAGGGATTTAGATGCATGGGTGTGTCAGCATACGTGAGCATG